CTTTTTCTTCCATCTGTAGTAAACCATACTTGAAAGTCTGAAATACTTCACTTGGTGGTTCGTATAACTTTGTAGGTTTTTCGTAAAGTCATTTGCCAAGCATAAGAAAGAGTTTTGAGCGCCAGAAAATGAAAGCATGAACAATAATAGCAGCTGGGTCGAAAACATCTTTAAATAAATATGTTCATCTCTTGCATATCGACTGTAAATATTTGCTAAAGGAAGTTCGACTTTCTGATTTAACATTCTTTGCAAATAATACCATGACATTGCAGTGAATTCTGTATATATTTGTTCGTCTTTCTTTGGATTGTCTTCGTAGATTTGAAATGACACTTGTGAATTTTGTTTGTCATATACAATTCTCACATAAAGTGTGCTCTCGGTATTTGCATATTCATCAGCATATTTTGCATAACATGAATTTATTTTATCTTCTATATTTTTTAACGCAGTCTGTAGAGAAGATGAAAGGTCAACTTGTATTAGCTCAATTTCTTCCCACATTTTTCGTTTCCCTTCAGATATATAATCTATATGAAACCTTACAATAAATGGAAAACTTTTATCTTCTACAGACACAAACTTCATTCTACGAAAGCCAATAGCTTTTGTGACAGATGGGTCTCTTAGCCATCTTAATGGGTAGTCAAAACGATAGCCTTCATGCTTTACGGTCTCTGTCTCAAACTTTTGACCGACATTAGTAAAAAGTTCATCTAATGGTTTAGTTGTAGCAACTCTTGAATTTTCTTTTTCTATTGGAAGCATATTTTATCTAGAATAAAAATGTCAAATGAAACAGCGTCTATGAGAGAAATACAACACAACCGACAACTCATTATGCAAGCTCTAAATAAGAACACAACAAACTTTTCAAACTATTCTAAGATATCTGAGTCATTGAAAGAAGGAAACTTAAAACTGACGATAAACCCAATGACAGACGAGTTTCTGTTTCAAGACAACAAGAACCATACTGTTTGTATAAATCCAACAAAAAGAACTTTAAACGAGAAACCTATAGATGAACTTCTTTTGAAAGCAGATATTGACAACAAAGCTGACAAAGAATATGTCATTGAAAAAGTTCAAGAAGAACATGACAGAGCAGATGCAACATATGCAACAAAAGAGGATGTTGAAAAGAAAGCAGATAAAACATATGTTAACGATGAGTTAGAATGTGTGGCTAGTGCGTTAGTGAAGAAGGCAGATAAGGAATATGTGGATGAAAAAGACAATGAAATTAAAGAAAGGGTTGAATGGTATAATGAACGGACATCGAAGATTTTAAAAACGAAAGCTGATACAGGATGGGTTTCAGGGTGTTTAGACCTTAAAGCCGACAAAGAAACTGTAGATATGTTGGCACAAACGGTTTCAAGTCATACCAGAGGTTTAATGGAAGATGGACAACAGTTGAAAGAGCTTGAGAAAGGTGTTACAGAGTTAAGGAATACAAAAGCAGACTCGACATGGATAAAAGGATATGTAGATGCAACAAAAGAGTATATTTTCACATGGACAGAAGGAACATACCCACAAAAATATCATAGACATAGCATCTCTGACGTAAATGAACTTGAAGAAAAGTTATATAAGAAAGCAGACAAAACAGAGCTTCAAACATTAAAGACAGAAATACTTCAAACACTATATCCTATAGGTTCTATTTACACGTCAATGAACTCTACCAGACCAGAAGTAGTACTTGGTCTCGGAACTTGGACTCAAATAGTCGACAGGTTTTTGTATTGTGCAAACTCTTCAAAGGAAACAGGTGGAAGTAAAACGATTTCAGGTGAAAATTTACCTGCACACAGTCACTACATAGATTTAAGTACATCTCAAGCAGGTTGGCATAAGCATAGATATTGGGATTGGTCAGGAATGACAAAAGGTAAAGGATATGATGTTAAAGACGAGGTTAAGTTTGCTATAAATTGTTACTGGAGTGACACTCAGGGAGAAGGAAACCATACACATCGCGTTACAGGATATACGCAAACAACGGGACAAAGTAAAGACTACATGCCACCTTACATGACAGTTTACGCATGGTATAGAAATGCTTAGTCGTCATTTTCAACTTCTTTAGCATATTCGTCAGGAGTTGTCTTATATTTGTTAGGAACTGTCTTTGAAAGTATACCACCTTGAACTTTGACAAGTTTGAAACGAGGTCTGACAATAGTAGTTTTATCTTCTGCTTGCAGTCTGTACATTTTGCCATGTTTGCCTAAAACTTCATAATATTCTCTTGTATACTTTCTTCTATTTTTACGAACACGAATGTGAGTACCTGTCGGTTCCCATTGTTGTCATAGTCAATAGTATTTTCATATGGGTCGCGTTTAGGTATTTCTATTTTACTTTGTCACCTTTCTGAAGTTTGAAGCCTGGCATTCTTTCTTGTTTGTCTCTTTTGACTAAACTATTAAATATATAGTCTTTCTCTAAGTCGGGGTTGTTTTTCATTTCTTCGGGGGAGTGGTTTCCCAAACCTTTTTGTTTACGGCTATTGTAAATATTTAAAACTTGTCTCATCTTTGCCATGGAGAAATGTCTATATTTGTCGTCATATGACATTTCATTTGCTTCACCACCTTGTGGTTGGTTTAAGTCTCTTAAGATTTTTATACAACTGTCAATGACACCAAGAGCAGAATGGTTTTGGTCGACAATGAAATATTGGTTTACATTTTTTGAACGCAGATAGTTTTTAATATCGTCTGATTTGAAAGAACTTTCACAGTCAGATGTCAGTTTTGTTGGATGGTATTTGTCAACGAATATTGTCAAAGCAGTTTTCACATCTAAAATATTTTTGGACCATAATGGTATGGCTTCACAGTATCTGTGTTTTGACCAAAAATATTAACCAGTATGGTGGTCCATCTTCTCTATACCTCGGAATGTTTTCCAAGATATCCATAAACCAAGCATTTGGTGTTGAACTAAAGATTTTTATCATGAGTGCTTTCTTTGTTGCCTTAGAAACATAGGGGTCCTTGTTTGAATTCGTCATTTTTAACCCATAAGAAATGGGTTTATTTGGCGCATTAGCAGGAGTTGCATCCAGATTTTTGCCCGCAGTGGGAACAATAGCCAGAGGTGCATTTGGAATTGGAAGGAAGATTTTGAGTACATTAGGTATACTGAAAGAGAAAGCAACACCTATTATACAAACTGTACAGAAAGGTTGGGAGGTAGCACGAGATGCAGCAAATCTTATTCCAAATCCTGAAACAAGAGGAAAAGTTCAAGGATGGATGGACAATGTAGGAAGACAAGCAGGAAACTATTATAACAAAGCAAATGACTACTATAACCAAGCAGGACACTATATGGACCAAGGTGAAAGATTCTTTAACAGAGGATATAACCATGCACAACAGTGGGTAAACAATAACCAACCGCAACCACCTCAAACTTGGGGAATGTAAAGTTTTTTACTGAGATGAAATGAACAATACAGCATTGAGACAAATGGGTTCAAGATGGATTTGTCGGCTTCCAGCAGTTACACCACCACGTGTTTGTCAAGTCCTCCCTATACCTCAAGAAGTTTTAGACCGACTTAAAAAACCTAAACAACCAGTTGAAAACAAACCAAACTAAAATTTTTACTGAGATGAAATGACCGAAGAAGTTGAAACGGTAGATTTGACACCACAAACAAAAAGTTCAGAACCATTGTCAAAACCTGTCAAAGAACTTACAGATGAAGAGAAAAATTCAATAATAGAAAGTGCCAGGTCTGGAAATACAAACCCTAACTATAAAGTCACTTTTCATAGAAATGGAACGGCTAGTATCTCAAAAAAGAAACAGACCCTCACAAATAAAATATTGAAGTCTGAAGGAGCTTTCGAGACAACAGATGGAAAAGTTTACTTCACTGACCAACAGTTCATTATAGAACATCTCATTGACTTAGAGTCGAAATATTCTAAACTTTACAACAAACACAAAAAGTTGAAAGGAAAACAAAAACAAATGGCATATGATATTTATGAAGATGTTGACGACACAACTGTTCCTGCAAGTGAA